CTACAACACATATTCAATGTAGATATATGATAACAATCTTCACAAGTCAAGCTGAATACTCGCTGATATGACATTTCCTTACAAAGAAACATGCTGACAAGGGCTGTTTCTCTAGCTCAGAGATTTGGCACCATAAAAAACCAGCATGTCACATAATGTTATACAGAAGTGCTGAGCAACTATTAGCTTTCCAAGAAAGACTATGCTCCATGGAATTAATAACCATCACACCACATGTCATTATGAACCATCACAATACTATCCTCAGAGCTATGCCTATGATTTCCAAAAGATCTCTTCCCTTAAAGTTTCTGACTAAAATGCTGTATTCGTTTTTCATGTCCCCCATACATTCTGCACATTCCACAAATCTCATTCCTCTTGATTTATCCCAACAACATTTAAAAATGTCCTATTAATTATAATGGTAAAATATTAGCTCATGAAAAAACCCACCAGCCTTATTCCGTGTTATTCCCACCAACAATCTAAGTGTAGAAGCTCTGCCTGTTTTAGCATACAGGATAGGTGGACCAAATTCTGTAGTTACAGACAGGAGTAGTTCTGGAAGATTATCTGGCAAAGGTTTAGAACGTACTTCCAAGTTCTGGAGTCCTCCAACAGCAGAGTTCTCAACAAGGTCCTCAAGATCACTCTGAAAATTAAATTACATTAAACAAATAGTACACAGACCCAACACCTGCAACAGCATTATATGGGTACGAAACTTGTTTCTTTCCGAAGATAATAATGAAGACTGGGTGTTCAAGAAGCAGTGCTAAGAGATGTGAAGCATCACAGGAATGGTACCTGAGGAACATCATAATTTGTACTCTACACCTCTACTGTTAGATGAATCAATCATAAAGTATGAGATGGATATGACATGTAGCACACAAGTACTGACCTCATAAGAGAATTAAGGTTAGAAATAAAACAAAGGAAATGAAGAAGCAGAATACACTCCTCAACTACTTTAAACAGGAAATCTATAAATGAAGAGCACATTAATAGAGAAATTCAAAACAACAACTCAGTTACATTAAAACTTTATAAATTAGTGTACAATCATGTATATTAACTCACTCCCATACTTACAACTACTACAATGTTTCCATTTATTCCATTTGCTCCAAACTGCCATCGGATTGGCTGGTGAGATTTTAGGATAAGTGTAACATTACGAGGTACAGGATGAATGCCTTCTCCCTGCAACTGTATCAATACAGGAAGAGGTCCTCGATTTGGTCGATTTCCCTTAGCACCTGCATCTAGTTCCACCACATACACATCCCTAGAATTTTTAAAATTAATATATAAAACATTACATAACGCAGTGAGAATAAAATTATACAACCATGCCATGAACTAGCACCGGCATCTCAATAAATGGAAGGAAAACCTACAATAAAATGCTTTCACAATTTTTACACGCAATTTCTGTCATTGCAATACTTTGTGCACAAACTGCAGTTCATTACCTACCTAACATTAATACATTCACATGCATATTTCCACACAGCATACCTTCCTATTACAGCATTTATTCTTTAGTCTTTATAAGCATGAGATGATTAAATACACTTAATTACAATATATAAATGTATTACTAGTAATTCTATCTCCACAATTTACTCTGTGAAAGTGATACACACTTTGATGTACTGATTAAAATTCCAGGAATCACATGACACATCATGTATCTCAGAAAGTCTGATGCATTACATGACTGACATTTATGTGTACATTCCAACTACAAAATGTTCATTACAATACTAAGTCAAATATACATTTATATCCCACAAAAATACAAAATGTAGTTAATACAAAAGACAAAAGGCATATACACTCATATTTAATTAACTTAGATCACTCACACCTGGTTATCTCCAATATAATCTTCATGGAAGCAACCCTCAGTTTTTAGCTGTACAGTTGAATAGGCAGTTAAAACTCTACTCTCTGTCAAGGAGTCAACATTACATTCAGTTCCAAGACCTGGGTTTTGAATCAAGCTTGACACTGAGCCAACCTTCAACTCCATATGATTTGCACCCTTCACCTCTGTGTACGAAGCTAATGCTGAGTACTCCCTCTTCACAAATCGCTGAAGAGCCTTCTTGTTAGGCCATATTTTATGTGAAAAGTTGAAGTTGAAATTACCTTCAACAGTAGAACCCTCAGACACCTACAAAACATACCATTATCTGTAAAATTTCAGGTTCCATGGCAGCTAGTATGCAGAAATCTTCTACGTTGCTGAGCTATGCAGAAGTTCAGTGACATTACAGAGGTGCTTCCTGCCTCCACCACCCTGATGATGGAGGAAGCAAGCATCTCTGAAAAGTCAGTAAACTTCCATCAGATTAAACGGGGAAACCCAGAAGACGTCATCTGTATACCAACACATCTTCAAAAACATAAAATATACTCAAATCCTGCAAATAAGTTCATTAAAAAACAGGCTTGACATCATGAATTATATATTATTCATGCAATAATCTCAACTGCACTGCACCAGCCAAACTACAGCTGGATACATGTACTATTTTGTACTAATGAGGAAAGCAACTATTCTGAAGCAAAAATAATAATATAAACTAATGCTCATCAACTTCAAGTAGGAGAACTTTTCATGAATTTGTCATATTATAAACAATTACCACAATATTACTTACTACAATCAGAGGCTGAGGCAGAGAATACAAATCATCATTGGTATCTTCTCTGCTGTTATGATTTGCTACCACCTCCCAAGCCACAGGATGATCCGAATTAAGTACCAGAATCAAACGCCCAAGTACTTTGGCATCTGATTCATTGTTTGCCCCACCTTGACCAAAATTCACGCTGAGTTTGACAGATGGTGTCTGTGACCTCAAATGGTGGTCAAAGAAACTGCCAGTTACACTGTACAGCATAATAACATGCACTTCTTGCATGAGATGAGCATTATGAGCCATGACATGCATCTCTTTTTTGTCCAAATGGTGACTCTGTGACTTTGAGTGAGTTCGAGTTGTTACCGATTTGTAGGGAATGGAGCAACCTCGTGTTTTGCGAGGGGTATCCAATAGAGGGATAAAGTAAGGTGTAACCAAAGAATTGACAATGCACAGCTCAGGATTATCTGAAAAAGTAAAATGTAGTATATAATTAAGTTAAACAAATAATATGAAACCTTTGTGCAACTCAAGTAAAATATTATATTACTGATGTCCATGAATTTACACATTAAATAAGTCTCAAGCAAAATGGAAAGATATACAAACATGTGGAATGACTAGTACAGAAAGAAACAAATTATGAGAACACATATATGCTTCAAACATAAAAAGTGCTCACAGCTGGTATGTAGTACCTTAGGAATGAACCTGAAAGGTTTACAGCAATTACTATAATTTCTTCTGTACCTGATAATGTTCTCATGTTTAGCTTCTTAACATGAAAGTTTTCACATTAAAAAGTCGTATAAGAATTTAAACTCACCTGAACTTTCTGCTATACTTGATCTGCAACCTAACAAAATGCTCAACATGATGAAAAGACAAAAGGAAACTACTGTAGGTTGCATAGCTACAGGGAACAGCAATCCTTCACGTATCTCACAACACAATTTTGTTTAGTTCACATGGTAGACTTCACGATTATATAACATTATTTTCTTGAATACCTAAAGAGAAATACCAGGTAGTTTGGACAAAATTCATATTACATTCTGAACAAAGAAATACACTAATTTTTAAATATCTTAAATTACTTTCTGTAATATCCCTAAAAATTAACATATAAACTGTTCATAAACAAGACTGCTTTGAGATTTTGCAATATTGCAGACACAGAAAACTTCAGCAAATAGAATTTGGAGAATGAAGAATTCACATACTCTTCATAACACACTATAACCTGTATGTTGCATCCTGTATAACATAAGACCTTGTTTATTAACCATACATCTGACATAACTTATCACCACATATGCCTAAAGCAAATTTCTAAAGCTACATCAAACAAAACAAAACAAAAAACTAAATACAAAGATTTTATAAAGTAATATAAATTCAAGAATAAATTAATTCTTCTCTTTACTAAACACAAATCACAGTTTTAAATTAAATGAACTGAACTTTTGAATCCCACAAAAGCTGCACTCACAATTAATGCCTCATTGTCTCAGCTCTACTGATAAACAGTTACAGATTATAAGACTGCTTTGAACCTTAAAATTAAGGAATAAAGGAGGGCATAACTTATTTAGGAAAGTGTACTGTAAGGACAACGATCAGTCAAATCTTAATATTGCTAGGCCAACTGAGACAATAATCATTTAAAGGCACCATCAATTACAGTGATTTTCTCCTTTGGTCAGATAATTTTTAGTGTTTCTTTCAATCGATCAAGATCAAATCAAATATTTTCCACAACCTACAAGCTTTTTTTAAAAAATAAAATTATAATTTCTTTAATAAGTGAATCAAAATATTCTGATGAACTTTAGTGTAAGTGTATAATTATTAAAGTAATTTTTTTCCTAGCCAGACCATACAGACTGAAGCATTTGAAGGAAAATATGCATCATATGTTGTTCCCATTTCATATAAGTTCTAACAGCATGGATAGATAACTGAATACATGAAACTGCCTTGTTGACAAGATGGGAATTGTGCTATGCAAAGGAGTAGAAAAAATAAATGTTGAATACACAATTTTGAATTCATGAAGTACAAATATTTAAAGTTAGCATCCATATTTGAACAACATAAAAAAGAACTTACATGGCATATGCATACTTTCAAAACAGATACACCTTGATTGTTTCCTGCAGTAACAAACTATACCCTGTAACAAAATAAAATTCCCTGTATATAATAAATGAGAAAATGCTGAACATTCACAATTAAAAATACTATATAACACTTCCCAGCTTTTGAAACTAACAGCAGATATTAATAAAAGTATAAGGAGCACAATGGTAGTATATCATGCCACAAAACCAATCAAATTGGAATTATTATTATTAAAAACAATTTTCTTTATTGCATACATAGCCATACACTATGCTGAATGCAAAATACAATTTATTCCTTATTGAAAACCTGGTTGCCTTACATGCTTCCAATGCCATACGTCTCATGTCTGAAACTAGCTGAAACCAGTACTAATTTTCCTAATTTCTTTTCCATCTGTTACTTCTAACTAATACTGTGATAGCAGAACCCAAAGGCTCTATATTCCTACTAGCACAGGCGTAATCCTGTGCCAGTCTAATCCAGACAGAATGAAAAGTTTTTCCAATGAATAAAAACAACTCTAGAATGCTTCACTAATTTATATAATTACTTCCGTTTCAAAACCCTGCAAATTGCTAAATTTTCCAAGACACACTACAAACATTTTATAATCCATAATTAACTTTGGCATATGGTTTCTACAAGTGCACTCAGAAATTAACTTCATGTCTTGTCTTACATCTAGTGGATTATGTGTCAGATAAATATCTAAAAATATAAGGGGAAAAACAAAAGGAGAGAATAAGTGTGAATTCGTGGCTTTGTATAATGCTGCTAACAATACTCAGTATTGTATACAAATGGATGATGCGTGTGTAGTGAAGTTGATAACGTGACAAGCTGTGTGTGTGTGTGTGTGGGGGGGGGCACAAGGCTGAACATCCACCTACGGCATAAACAAGCAAGGAGGCCAAATATTTTGCTATTTTACAGTTCAGCAGCAACTTTGTAAGCCACAATGATATGATATTCATTACACCATTTCACTGAAATGTTTATATATTTCATAAACTCTTAAAAAGGTGCTGTGTGATCTAAGGTATGCATCTTCTTTGACTAGATTTCAGATTCAGAATCAACACAAGGTACTCTTATATGTCCATGCTGTTCAATACTGTACTGATCTCTATAGATAGATGCCTTGTGACTGGCTGATTCATTGTCCAAGAAGCACCACCCCATATCTTACCGATTTACTGCTTCAGAAGTATACTGATTCTGAACAGGTCAGAATGTCTAATCTATAAAAGCTGCAGAAGAAATCCATTAATACTATATGTATCTAATCTAAGCATAGGAACAGATTTCAGACATTCCACTATTTTAAAGTTTAATTCATACCACTAATACTTGTAATGTCTCCTGGATTACAAGATATTCTTTAACTGTTTCCATGACTGATATATTACTAACAATACATACATAAAACCAGTGTTTTCATTTAAAACTGAATCTATTTTGACTCAGCATATTGTTGTTTACTCGCATATGCCTCCATCACTATATTTCACAAACACGTTTACAAGGCACATGAGGGTTTAAATTTCACTACTGAATAACATACAGTCTCCAACAAGAAATACTACACTAACATGCAAAACCCACCTGCTCACATTTCATTGTCTTTATTGTTGTTGTTGTAATTGCTATGCATAAGTAACCTTGTGCTTGTGTAAAACTCTGTTACTTTATATCCTAAAACCAATTAACCATATACAGAACAATCCAACATTCTTTCATTCTACTAACTTCCATCTACTTTGCTTTTCAACATAAAAGTGTTTAATATTCTGATGAATTTAACCAAGCAGGGAGCTTTCTCTCCAAGAGGTCAAAGATCTCCTTCCCTTTCTTATGGTAAAACTGTTACATTATACATAAGCCACCTAAGAAAAGACTGAATAAATTGGTATTTTCAAGTATGACATGGCTTACTTGAAGTCAGCACATACAGCACATGAGACTCATGTAGCAGTGTATAAGTTATACTTTATTACTGTTACTACATGAATGGCAACCAATACTATCAAGTCCAGTTCTATTTTTCTACTACAATTGTACTGAAAATCAGACACTGTATTGCACAAATCATTACATGGAAATAACCTACATAGCCAGACTGCAAACCATCTTGGCATAAACTGATGACAACTCCTCAATTACCGTTGGTTGTATTTGCAACACGAAACCGCGCCTTAAAATACCCACTTCTAAGAAATTAAATGCAACATCAGACAGAAAGCACTAAATATGAAAACGTTTCAATCGTGTACATAAACAACTTTGATTCCCATGAGCATCAATTATAAGCATGTTACAATTCATCTTGTGATCAAATAAGATCTACGCTGCAGAAACAAAGACACAAACATTACCATTCTTCAAACAGTGGTAAATATTAGAATTCAAGTACAACTGCGTATTTCTAGCTTCCTAGCCTTCAACGCACATCAATAACACATTTACAGCTCCAAGTTTAGGCATTATGACGCAACCAGTTCGTGTTGTCATCCACTCCATTGACCCTTGTTTTACGACTGTGAAAGCGCCCTGGGCGGAGTTTTTGAGTTTTTAGTGGCCTGTCAGTTTCGCCGGTAGACAAACGGTACAAAATTTAATAGAAAGAATATTTATTTTCAAGAATGCAGTGTTTAAATTAGACCCTATTTATTCGGTGACTGCCGTATTAATAGTTTCAGTATACAGCAATGAGTTATTTTAACAGTCAAGTACAAATTAATTTTGCAGTCTAAATAAACATGAATGAAAGTTGCCACGTTCTGTTGCTACCAACACTGCGTATTAAATGTCATTCGCCGAGTTTCGCTTGAGTTATATTTTTTGACTAAAAGTATCTGTATTGTAAGATTAATTTCCTATAATTTCTCTGTACTATATAATTTTGTTATTTGTTGTTAATAACCTATCTAAAATCAAGTTATCTTTTCGTTATATTACCACACCTATTAGTTATCATTCTGACATCGTTCAGAAATTCGTACTACTGAACTTGGCTCAATACACGCAATGAAAGTCACTTGCATATGGGTTATGTTATCTATGTTGGTACTGTGGTTGATACATTGGCATTCATAACCAATTCGTCATGGCTTTAGAAGCTTTGTGCGGATTTAATACTCGTATGAGTTTTAGTTCGTTAAAAAAGGATATCGAATGTGATGCAGATGTTGAAGACTACAGCAGAAATTTCTACAATAATCTGGAATTGTCTGTTCCACCATTTCCAGACGTGAGTAAATACTTGTTAAAATTTATGTGACGGTAGAAAGGTGCAAAATCATGCTCTATCATTATTGAACATTGCTTTAATCGAATAAGGTGCGTTTGAGTTACATACATCAGCAAGTTTAAATGAAAACATCCTATTTAAGTACTCTGACTAAAGAAATATATATATTCTCAAGTACCTCCCACTACTACAGTTTTGTTACAACATAACCTATAAGGAGAGCGGTTATAATTATAAAGCTAGATGGCCAGATTAATGTGGAAACGGTGGCTGAACACTCACTCCAACAGAGTAATATATGACATTCGACACATTCTGCGAAACAGGCCAGAATTAAATTGGATGCTTTCCGTTAACTACACTTCATGCTTCACAATGTCAAAATGGAATACAATTCACAATCCAACCTTGTGAAACAAACTGAAGTACAACACTTTCACTGATTTTAAGCCTTCACTATGATTAATTCTTAATACCGACACAGCTTTTGGGTGTTGCCACTGTGGAAAAGGGCTGTGTTGCTGAAATTTCAGAAGAACATACTCCATTCATCATCAGGGTGAAGTGAAGAGTGTTGCGTGAGTAGTTAGTTAAAAACGGGAACAATAGATGGATTGGCTGGAAGGAGATTAATTGGCCATGGCTCATATGGATGGTTGGTGACTAGCCAATCCCTCTACAAACATCCATTTTTTGTCCCAAAATATATCATCTTACAAAACACTCCTCACTTCAGCCTTGATGAAGGAGGAAGCATGTACCTCTGAATTGTTGGTAATACAGCCTACTTTCACATGGTGTCATTACCCAAAAGCAAGATCAGCATCAACACTTTCATTGTAATTCAGAAGTCTACACATCTGAATGGTTTCCTTAGTCAAGGTGAAATTGATATACCCCATTGAGGTGCACACAAATGGTCCCAAATCTGAAGTCAGAATTGTTTAGCATTTACTGTAAATGTTTCAACAGTTGTGTACTTTCTCAGCCAGCAGTAAACCTCTCAAGGTTCTCCACAGATGAACATGGAAAGGGTATCAAGATCAAGTTTGACCATGGAACTACAACTCTTGGTTTCCGTTATCAAGGAGGGGTAGTTCTGGCTGTTGACTCTCGAGCAACGGGAGGCCAGTATGTAGGTAGGTATTCCTAAATTATTTTCCATTTTGGCATGCGTATGTGTTCTTTTGAATATGATTTCATATCCGTTTCCTGCATCGTTTGCACATTAAATTTTTGTCCCAAAAGTTGAAAATGCAAAATTATCAATTTTATACAAGGGAAATATGTACATAATTCACATCATGCTTCTAATTTTTCACGTTCCATAAAACACTAATGAATAACTGTATAAAAGGATCATAATGCAGATCCTTTTATTACAAAGAAGGTGTAAGGAACCTTTACTGGTGCTCATGTTTATTCATTTGTACTGTACATCATGTGTGTGTAAATTCTGAAAATACAAGAAGGTACAATACTGTAAAAGTAAAAAGTAAAGTTTGTCCCACTATACGCCATGTAGGCGTTTGGGGTGAGAGGAGGTATAGCTCCTCTCTTCCTTGACCTCGGCACTAGATGGGGGTGAGTGGTCAGCATCACGCCCCGGCCGGCTTTACCCCCGGGAAAGGACCCCCGGTACCCATTGTAGAGGAGGCTGGGTGGGCCCCAGAGCCGGTCTGGACGCAGAGGCTAGAGGAAAAATCCTCTGCCCCCATCGGGGATCGAACCCCGGTCGTCCAGCCCGTAGCCAGTCACTATACCGACTGAGCTATCCCGGCTCATAGGTACAATACTGTGAAAGACATTAAAAAGAGACATTTTGGTTGGCTGTAATTAAATATTCATTTTCTTTCTCAGTCATGCTGCTAGGTCATGTCATATGTGTTACTGTTCAGAGAAATCACGTTTTGAGTGTGGCAGCATTTCATCTTCATAATTTTATTGATTTTGTACTGGTATGCACAGTGTTTTGTATGACTTTGGAAGTTTCAAGATTTACATGAGAAGTGTGATATTGTGTGACCATATTTCTTTTATACCTTTATGCTGATCTAAATAATTTTAAAACTTCACAATATATTGCTAAAAAATAGAGATTATTTTTGTTTCTAAACAGTTTATGCAAACTCTGCCCATCATAATTATTTTGTAGGGTCTCAGACAATGAAGAAGATAGTTGAGATCAATGATTACCTTCTGGGAACACTGGCGGGTGGTGCTGCTGACTGTATGTACTGGGATCGAGTGTTGGCAAAACAATGTCGCATGTATGAGTTGCGAAACAGAGAGCGAATTTCTGTGGCCGCAGCTTCAAAACTCATGGCCAACATGGTCTACAACTACAAGGGAATGGGACTCTCAATGGGCATGATGATAGCAGGATGGGATAAAAGGGTAAGTGAACAGACTTCAGGATCACATTTTGCTTTGCTGAGTAGTAGGTAGCTTCATTACAGGAAGTCTGAAAGTTCTCATAGCTGCATAATCCTTCAAATGCATCCATAAGATGAGAAAATTAGTCCATAATATTCAATGCATATGTGAGTAGGAAAAGTTATAAATTTGTACTGTGCTACATTTTTAAATTACCTAAATTGCTTTCCTAGGGTCCTGGCCTGTATTATGTTGATAGTGAAGGCACACGTACGAAAGGAAAAGTGTTTTCTGTTGGCTCTGGATCAGTCTATGCTTTTGGAGTCCTTGATTCTGGCTACAACTGGGATCTGAAAGATGAAGCTGCTTATGATTTGGGACGCAGAGCGATCTATCATGCAACACATCGTGATGCTTACAGTGGAGGCATTGTGAGAGGTATACTATAATATTATGCATTGCTTATTGGACAATTATTTATTTATGAGTGAACTAATGCCCATCTTCAATTGTGGCATCAGTGGACGTTACACAAGAGATAAATATAGTATCACATTATATATTATATATATAATTTAAATTAGTATATGTAATATACTAGTAATATTGTAATGTCATAGCTGAGATGGTTAGGTATTGGTTTCTTATGTGTATGCTGTTTCAATCCCAGGATAGTCTGTGTGAGATTTCAAGTAGTATTAAATCATATTTTTCTATGAATACTTTGGTTTTCCCTCAGAACTTAGCTTTCAACTTTTATCTGTCATATAATGTTTCAAGTGTTCAACTTTTCAACTGAATGAGTTAAATATTCTGTCAGCTGTGTAAGTACAAATGGAGCTCTACATTTAAACTGAGTTTCATTACATGTCATATTCCTTACATTCTTTCCTGTTAATTTTATAGCAAAAGGTAATTTTGGATGGTGATAAAACTGTTAATTGTATGGCAAAAGGTAATTTTGGATGGTGATAAAAGTTTTATGCTAGGATTTAAGATTTCCCACAACTATAGCATTCCATTTTACATTTATTTCAACATCGTTGTGGGTATCATCACGTTTCATGTTTCCCTCATACTATGGAATTGTAAGTTACTGAATTTTCATCAAGTTCTGGTTAGACAATTCATAGTCAAATATAAAAACAAATTCACTACTGAGAATTAATGTGGTTGGTGGTGATTATTGATTGAAGGATACGTCACATGAAAGTGAGACTAGATTCACCTGTAAATCTGCCCCATGCTCCTTGCTGCCAGTGGTACAGTCATTCCTCCATTACATAGTAGACTCGTTCCTGAAAAATGGTGTAAATTAAGAGCTGATTTACCAAGAGTGTTGAACTCACATGTTTATATACAGATCGATATGTATGTTTATATAGCTATATCTAAAGTTATGTTAATATTTTGACCCTCTGTCCAGAATTTGATTTAGGAAATAAATCAGCTTTTGTATCCATGTGATTTTAAATTATGGATTGACCCAAATATGCAGCAAGAGAAGTTCATTTCCATCAATATAACTGAATGTAAGAAATGTCAGTGTAGGAAGTTTGTATTGCTAAGAGATAAAGTACCTTATTTTTATTTCAGTATATCACATGAGGAGCACTGGCTGGGTGAACATTTCCAATGAAGATTGCAAAGATTTGCACTACAAATTCCAGGAAGAAAAGGGAAACTTTCCAGCATAAAGTGGAAGGAATGAAGTTGTCAAGCTGTGGATACATATATGTATTTGTATAGTTCCAAACTATTTCTGTGGCTTCATAAATAATAAAGCAAGAATTTAATTGAAACATTTGTTTAACTAATTGTATGGAGCAGAGACTTCCTTCAGACATTGATATTCGCTCACACTATCAAGAAATTCTCCCTGCCTTTTGTGGAATTAAAAGGTTGTGAGATTTCAAGTTCCCACAGCAACGAGTATGAAGAAGATGTCTTCTGGGATACTGTGCTATGTAGTCTTGTAGAATGTGACTGACATTTCAGAGCACCACAGAAACATCAGTCAGTTTCTGAAGATTACGTGGTGCAACATTCCAGAAGGCAGTCATATTTAAGTAAAGGTTCATTATCATGTCAACAAGAGCCTGCTACTGGATCCTATCCTGAGCCAGATCAATGTACCCTTCCCACCCACTTTCTTTAATATCCATTTCTATCATGATCCCATGTATGCCAAGGTCTTTCAAGTGGTATCTTCCATTCAGAGTTTCCAAACAAAACTCTTTATGCACTTCTCATATATCCCATGCATGCTACATACCCTACCCATCATATTCTCCTTATTTCATCATCCAAACAATACTTGGTGAAGAGTATAATTATGAAACTTCATATTATGTAGTTCTATCCAGCCTGCTGTAATGTTATCTCTTTTGGTCAAAAATATTATTCTCAGCAGCCTTCCCTCAACCCATCATTCCTTAATCATCCTTGACAGTGTCACTTCTTAAACCACAAGTAAATATGTTGTACTATTTAACAGTGGATTTTGACTAAACAGTTAAAATCAGGAAATAAATTAATAAGTAAAGATCATATTATTTTCTTGTGCATTATATTTTCACATCACTGTATTCAACTTGTGATTATGCATCCTTTTATGGGAGACAGGTACCAATACTCCATACAACATATTGAAATTTCATTGCAATTTGTTAACAATTATGTTAACTTAATGTCTCAAGCATGTTCAAAAAGAACTCAATTTAGAGATTTCTTATGTGTTACATTTATTAACTGTTCACTTACATTAACCAACTTTATTATGTGGGAACAAGGGGTGTCTGGATCTCCCAAACATTGAGTACTGTATTTTGGGTTATGAAACATGTAATTTTGTACACTATATTATTCTTGTTGACTGCACTTCACTATAATCCAAAATACTACAATCCTCTTTGGTGTTAAAACCTCAAATTTTGCCAGTACTTGTACCTTCCAATTACAAACAACAAAACGTTCTTTAAGGACTGTGTACCGTTAAGGTACAATTTGGCTGCACGCGACAGAGACAAGCGACCGAGGCAGGCGACAGAGTTACGAGACCGAGACTGGTCGCTTCCTGTCTGGTCTCTGTACAATCATATGAAGTACAATTACGAGCGCGAGACAAAGACAGGCGACAGAGACAAAGCACAGGAGACCGCTCTCGGACCAGTAGTGTCTCGCGACGGGCTCAGGCAGCACGTGTGTTGTTGAGTAAAATAATGGCAGGAATTAAATTTACTGGTGACCAAGATGAGCAATTGGTAGAATTAGTAGCAGAAAACCGACCACCGACAGAAAGAACCTTCTTCACGTCTGGTTTTGAATATTGAACTCATAGGTTTTCTTTGTTTCTTTCGCAACAAATAACACAGCAACACATCATCTTCTTCTTATTCTTCGAGTAACCTTTTTAGAAGCATTTGTGTACTCATTTCTCACAGAATATGTGCACGTAAGTCTCAACAAAACAAAGAAAACAAACACTTTGCCGCATGTCTCGGTCGTCACCTCAGAAGTGTGTGGCGACAAGCTGCGATGTGTCCGTCTCCCGTCTCTGTCGCCTGCCTCGGTCGCTTGTCTCTGTCGCGTGCAGCCAAATTGTACGTTTGACACATTCGTCCGTTACCGCGCAGGATCTTTCGTAGAACTGTCAACACGTACACGCCTATCGGCAGGTCGACGAACTATTCAGTCATTCAGCTGCCCTTGAAAGGGGAAGATGGAAGGAAGGCCGAAGCTTGCAAATGAACCAACCTGGCAGAAATTGCAACAGTATTACAATAATAATGGAAGCAGAATAAATATTTATGAGCTCATGAAAAAGGATCCAAACCGCTTCGATAATTTCAGGCAAGCATTCTAGTTATTGACAAGGTACACTGCTGTTTGAACAAATTATCCTTGAAATGACCTTCATGAAGTAAAAATATTATTTCATGTTTCTTCGGTAATTCCATCCTTTTTATCACACGCACTATCAAGGCTCATTCAGAAACTTAGAGCAATTATAAATAAATGTTCCAACGTAGGATTCATTGTTTATATCAAAATTCAAGATGTTACAGAACTAAAAAAATTAGAAATGCGTATAAATAGGCTACCATATGCAGATACTAGAAATATATATCAGGAAGATGTTTAGAAAATGTTTTTCTCATCTCCAAAGGAATTCCCAAACATTAAATTGTGTTTACCATAGAGTCCCACAATGTATCCCAACCTTGATCACATTAAGTACTAAGTTTGATTGATTTGTGTTAGGTTTAATTATGACAAGTCAGATCCTGGGTAGCTCAGTCAATAAAGTGACTGGCTATGGACTGGACGACTGGGATTCGATCCCCGATGGGGCAGAGGACTTTTGGCTTTAAATATGCTGTTTGCTTGGGTCAGTTTCAGTATTTAAGTTTCTTTGAGACAAAATACCCCATTAAGTTTTGCTCATATTAATGTTTTCAATATGTGAAGTAAAAAGGGAAAATCAATGCATACAGTTTGTGTAATTGTATCTTTAGTATTAATGTCTAAATCTATGTTTTGTAGTTTACTTCTCTCTACACCACAAGATGGAGACATTTTAATTGACTACTCCAAGAATCGCATAAATGATGAAGTTTTTTCTCTTCTGGTTGATTTGGTAAGTGTCAGTTACAGTAATTTTTCTAAAAAAATCTCGCAGATGTCAGTTTTAAGACTTCCACATAAATTGAAACATAAGGGTGTTTACATTTTAGAAAATATTATGCAGTCAGATGCCTGTAAGATAAAATACAGCTGTTAGATCTAGAGTGTGTTTTATGGTTTGAAATGTTTCAGGCTAGAGCACGAAAAGTGGAAGCTGCAAGAAATTCTATGTTCAATGCAGATAAAATAAATTTCACAGAGAATCGAGCAGTACTGCATGTTGCATTACGTAATCGCAGTAATACACCAATTGTTCTTGATGGTAAAGATGTAATGCCAGAAGTAAATGCTGTTTTGGCACACATGAAGGATTTTACTGAAGAGGTAAATAAACAGTCTGTCACTTCACTACTTTGCAGATATGTAATTACAGTTTAAATGTGACTGGTATCTATTCCATTCAGTTGCAAGAACAAGCTTAAAATTTATTAAATATTTCCATGTCTTGCATTTTTATAGGTGATTTCCAAAAAGTGGAAAGGGTACACTGGAAAAGCCATAGAAGATATTGTAAACATTGGCATAGGTGGTTCTGACCTGGTAAGTTAAAAAGTATAATAAGATAAATTATTATTAAGGAATTTGCCATTCCTGTGATTTGTGAACACTTACATGTAAATTAGGGGTTATAATGGCCTGATACTGATCAAAACTGCAATTGCTCTGACATTTTTGTTGACATCTGATACTGATTGTTATCCAATATATTGATAGCAGGTCTGACCTTCACATTTTGCCCTAGTCTGTGCATCGAGTACAAAGAATTTATGTTTACATCTTTCAAATATATTTCAGTTCTTATTTAATAATTTATAGTAAAGTGTACATGACTATGTAACTTCACAAAACCAAACCTAACCAAGGAAGGGAACAGTGAGGTCAGAATTCATCCTCATCTCTGATGACTGAAACCATTTTATGTACCTGTGCTATTAAAACTTGAGACCAGTAAGTGTGCTGTAGATGGTGTCTAATGTACAGTATGGTGTGGCTGTAAGCTTTCAGTTTGCTAATCAATTACTTTTATTTGGTTTTGTAAAGGGGCCATTAATGGTGACAGAAGCCCTGAAGCCATATGCAGCAGGACTGAAAGTACATTTTGTCTCAAATATTGATGGAACTCATTTAGCTGAAACCTTGAAGAAACTCAACCCAGAAACTGTTCTGTTTATTATTGCATCAAAGACATTCACAACACAGGAAACAATCACAAATGCAACATCTGCCAAACAGTGGTTTCTGGAAGCTGCTAAGGATGTAAGTCAGATCTGTATCTTGTCAACATGTTTCTAGGATAAGAATTCGAATTTTAAGATTAGATCATGGATGAACAACCTTTTTCTTTCAAAGGGCTGCACTGCCTTGTCATTTGTAACATGATCTTGTACTATGGAAGCCTAACATACAAAATCGGGTATAATTGTCACTGTGATCAATCAAATCATTGAAGTGAAATTTTCACCAATAAGCCATTTCTGTTGTTGATTTTTTTCAGCTTCAGTGATAAATCTTGTTTACAAATGCAGTCTTCTTTTATATGATATATACCTCAGTGCTTGTCTGTTTGTATTTACCATCTGTTTGGCATTAAAATACTTTTCCTGATCACTTCAGTCAAACAGTAAACTAAAACATATATGCAATAATTTCCTAATATCTAATTAATTAGGTGTAAGCTGAGAACATATGGGCTGGTCCATGCTTGTCTGTCATGTTTTTCCTACTGGGGTCATTGTTGGAACATGCTGTTGCATAACATTGGCCTTGGATCACAGTGCAAGAATGATCTATGTGATGTGTGGAATGTCAGTGTACACCAAAGAGTACATTTTTCCAGTCTTGTAGGAAAAATATCTTTATTGTTGTTTATGAGGCCATTCATGTGTATCTAAGTTGCTATATTTAATCTACAGAAAGGCAGACAGATAATGCAGATCAGAGATGTGTGTACAGATTGTTGACATAAAGGGCAAAAGGTCACAAGTATGTAGTTTACAAACTATTAAGCTTTCTAACTGTACTTTTTTTC